CAAGAAAGTATATATATGAACAAAGTAACAAGACTTATCAAGTTTTGAGAGAAAATGAGGGGGGAAATTGGCAATACACTAGATTTTAAATAAAGAAAAGCATTTTCTGACCAGGCTGAGATATATATGTTTGCAGGCTTTTAAAAAATCATGGGGTGTGTTTTGGTTTTTTTAACTGAGAAACTATACCCTGATATCTGTGAAGTTATGTTTGTTTGTGTTGGTAATATGTATATAAAATTAATTTTTATTGTAATCTATAAAATCTTTGGGGGATTTTTTCCCTTTTTTTAATCTTGCAGAGTATCTTGCGCGCGCACACACAAAGAGGGTACTGTTTAAACTAGAAACCACTCCCCATACACAACCAACTGGGAGGCAGGGACAGTACTACAGTAGTGCATGTGGAAGGACAGGTAGAACCCACGGCTTCACTCCATAGCAACAGAAGAAGTCTGTAACTAAGGATGGAGCAACAGCAGCTAAAGAGTATTACAAAGCAAGCCACAGTCATCTGTACTGCAGCACTTTAGCCCACATTTAAGAAGCAAGCAAACATGGGAAGTCTGTTCTTCTGTATTCTCCCGTTGTCAAAGACTAATTGAACAGAACACAGCACAATAAACCCTTTCCCCTTTCCTACTCAAAACAGTGCAATCTTAAGTACATGTACCCTGAAGTAAACCACACTGAGTTGACTGGGACTTCTTCCCTAGTAAGTATGGTGGTTAAGATGCTGAACTGCAGGCTGGAAGGTCAGTAGCTCAGCAGTTCAAGACCCGAGTGCCGCATGACTGAGTGAGCTCCCATCTCTGGTTCCAGGTCCTGCCAACCTAGCAGTTCAAAAGCAAGAAATTGCAAGTAGATAAATAGGTACCACTTTGGTGGGAATGTAAGTGTTCTGTGCGTCTTGGCGCCGTCATGCCGGCCACATGACCACGGAAACATCTTCGGACAGCGCTGGCTCTTCGGCTTGGAAATGGAGATGAGCACCGCAACCCTAGAGTCGGATTTGACTGGCTTTTGAGCAAGGGAAACCTTTACCTTTACCTAAGTATGTTTAGGATAGCAGTCAAAGTGTCCTTAAACTCCCAGCGTAAAAAATGCCACATTACTGAGAGTCCTGCACTGCCAACATAAGTAGAGTTGCATCCTTTTAAGTCCACCAAAGTCAATGACCTTAGGAGGCCATAATTCTACTTAGGACAGCACTTCAGTTCATTTGACTTTGCCCCCCTCTTTACAGCCATGAGGTTTAGAAAATGGAACACTAACAATAGACTTGCCGGATTCGTAACTGGCTTGTGAGATTCACCCTCCTGGCAGATTCATCTTCGGGGTCCCACATACCAAATAGTATATCGTAACCTATTGTTAATTCCTTACCAAACATTCAGTTCATTTCCTTTTATACAGCAAAGCTCACAAGACGATAAAGACAAACCTACTGAGGACGTTTACAGTTCATTTAAATATTTATACATCTTTCCTGCAGAATTCATATGAATGAAATGCCAGCGCTTGATATTAACTTTTAAAAGATCATTGCCAAGTAATATAACTTAGTATCACTTCAGGCGGGCTTTAAATTAGCAAACACTACTGCCGACTGGATCACAATAATCCTCCATGATAATTATGCTTTGGGATTAGCCGTTTACAATTAGCATTTTTAATTAACTTCAAGGGGAGCTTCAAGGAAGAATTCAAAGTGCGACACTTTCAGGGCAGCATAGCCAAACTTCAAAGATGAATCATCATACATTCCCCTATTTCATTCTAGTAAGGAAACAATAGAAACCAGCAGTTCCTTTTCAGACTCAAATACATATTGAAGAGACTTTGCCCAAAACGAGTGCACAACACAGTTCATGTCAGAGCTTCCATTCCTATAAACTGAGCTTGTATGAGAGAACTTCTGCTGATTGTGCCCCAGATAAAGTGCTATTTTAAGAACATTAGAAGAGCCCAGCTGGATCAGACCAGTGGTCTTTCTAGTCCAGCATTCTGCCTGACACAGTGACCTCATCGGCTCCTCTGGAGGTCCAACAACTGGGGAACAGATGCTGAGGTGTTCTCCTGCTGTTGCCTCCTGGCACTGCTATTCAGAGGTTTGCATCCTCATGAGAATACAGAGGCACTCTTACTCACCATGGCTAGCCACCATTCCTAATAGTAGCCACTGACAGACCTATCCATGAATTCATATAACCCCCTTTTAAGTTTGTCTGTGCTTGCAGCCGTGACTACATTCTCTGGCATTCATTTGTTCATTTGTTGAGTATCCTTCGGCTTGATAAAAGAAGTATTTCCTTTTGTCCATCCAAATCTAGTGCTCATCATCTTCCACTGTATCCCCCTAAGTTCTAGTATTACAGGAGAAGAAGAAAAAGCTCTCTCTATCCAGTTTTCTCTATTGCATGCATAATTTTATGAACCTCTGTCATAAAGTTTCCAGTCCCCGGGTAGGACATAGAGATCTCCTGGAATTACAACTGATCTCCAGGTGACATAGATCAGTTCCTGGGTGAAGCAGAGGGGTCCCCTCCCTCCTGACCCAGAGTTGGCTACCCTGCTCTACACCACATCCCCCCCCCCAGTCATCTCATCTCTAGACTGAAAAATCCCAAACAGGCTCCAACCCTTTCTTTGCCCTCTTCTGTATTTTTTTTCTAGCTCTGCAAGGTCCTTACTGAGATAAGGTGGCCAGAACTGTACACACGATTACAAATAAGGCTGCATGACAGATCTATACAGGGGCATTAAAAAACAGGTTGTCTTATTTTAAATCCCAGTCCTAATAATCCCCAGGATAGACTTTGCCTTTCTCTCTGCTGCAGCACACTAGGTTGACTTTTCCATTGAGCTATCTTCAATGACCATCACAGCCTCAGCAAGTTCAGAGCCCTTTAGCATGTGCTTAAAATAGCGGGTTTTTTGTCCCAATGTGCATCACCTTAAATGCTAAGTGATGATAGTAGCACCCCTTAACTAGTGCCAATAATATGTCTGGTAGAAAATGTAATGTAGAAGCAATGCAATTCCTGCACAAGCTTATTACACAGACAGACAAAAGGAGGACAGGGAATTGCAGATGAATTTAGAGTTGCCACCACACATGGGGCATTTCGGATTCTTTCTTTTTCCCCCCGCAAGCCTGGTGATTTTGCGCCATTTCATATGCCTGCTTGAAATCAGTGACTATCTGAAAAGTACTGGGTTCGCCACATGGAGGACTCGGACAACGACATGCTGTAGCACACGTTTATTGTACTTCACATAGACAAAGACTAACTCTAACGGCCAACAGGGCCAACTATATACATATCCACCAGCAACCCTCCCACTCCCATTGGAGGGTTTAAATGTCCCGCCAAGGTGGCTATTGGTTGGGGCTGGGGAATCCAGGATCCAAAGTTTCCTTTGTTTTCGGATCCAAGCTCTGGCCTGTCCGCGGACCCCTGGAGGCGGTCCACATACATAACACCATCTAAACAGGGCAAAAGGACATAGAATGTGCTTAATCCCTAGACCCTAGAGTGCTTCCAGTGAAGTTGACTCTCTCCAAGCTTAGATCTCAGCCTGCTTCCACCTGTTGTACTCTTCCCGCTTGGACTGGACTCTTCCTGCTTCCTAGTAACTCTTCGGGTTTAGCAGAAAAGGCACATTCCCCCACTGAAAACGATGTAACAGTCTCATGAAGTCTTCCACTGAAACCACTGGGTTGTGCCTAGTGTTGCCATCGCCAATTCTGAGTTGGGAAATCCTTAGAGATCTGGAGATGGGCCCTGCAGAGGATGAGGTGTAATGCCATAGAGCCCACCCTCCAAAGCAGTCATTTTCTTCAGGAGAATTGATATCTGTAATTCTGAGAGACCTCCAGGCCCCACCTGGAGGCTGGCAACCCCAGGTACACTTGGGCTCATGGCAAGGGGACCCAATCCACAATGCTGCGTTTCCATGTTACCAAAAAGAGTTATGGAATAGGGGAAAGTCAGATGTTTTTACCACAGCCTTGGATAGATCTGAAACAGAATTAGGTGGCCTAAAGGAGAAGAAAGTGAGGCTGCTTCAGGACTAAGCAGCAGCATATCAGGACACATACAAAGTAGGTTGGGTAAAAGATAAAGGAAACAGAAACCGCAGCCTAATATGTGTCTGGTAGACTATCTGGAATGTAGAGGCTACAAAGGAAGGCTAGCGCCAGATGCATGTCCCACTGTAAAGCAGGACAGTAGGGCTGCGGATATTAATCTGTCTGTACAATTCTAAGGACACTTTCCTTGGAGTAAACATCACTGAATTGACTTGAACAGGATTCTGAGTAGATTCACTTAGGACTGTTCTCTCTGCATGGTGTGCTAGTACTTTACTAAGTTCCAATACACATAACAAACCAAACTTCTGAAGCTAAAATATATACTCGACCAGTAAGATGTTTGGGCCCAAAGCACTTTGGGTTGAAGTATCTCAAACAATTCTTCTAGGACACAGTTTCAGCTATCTACAAGAAGAAGCCCTCTGACTCTAAAGGCATCAAGACCCAAACAACTGCACCATTCCTTTGAGGTTTCTGCTCTTCTGTCTTAGACTGGTGTCCCTTTAAGATGTACAATTGCTGGTGGAAGTTATTCAGGTCACCCCCTTGTCCAAGGTAAGCACTCAGGTAGCCTTAGATGAACTGGAATTAGAGTATTCAGGTGGCTGCTTTGAAAGTAACCTGAATCACGTCAGCACGCACAGATTGTTGAGACAACCATTCATACCCATCAAAGTCTTAACATCGCTTCTAGAAAATCATCCCAGATTAAAGCTTCAAGCACATTTTACAGATGGGAAGACCAAACTCAGAGAGACCCTTCTGTGTGATTGTGCCATTCAAACGTACTGCTAAAAGCTTTGTCTTGGCTGATCATAAAGATAGCCTTGGGTTATGAAGAGCCAGCAGTCCTCTACAGACCTAAGAGAGGAGAACCCAGCCTAGAAGAAAAGTCACCCACCTCCAGCACCAGCCAGAGCTGATCCCCATCCTTCGGATCCTTTTTGTAGTAAAGCCCATAAAACTTCACTACATTTGGATGGTCAGAGAGCGCTTTCAAGATGTTGTATTCAGCCTCGATCTCCTCATCGATGTCCTAGGGTCACACAACAAAAGCAAGCAAACAGAAAGTTAAAAATCACATCTATGAAAACAATCCCCTCTTACCCTCTGAAGATTATTTAGTAACTAAAATCTAAAGATAATGGGGTGGGGGATGAGAAAAGTTGCAGGGTTCAGAAAATGTGTGCTTAGTTATAATCAGTCATAATGTATGTGCTGTACAGCTAAAATGCACAGGAGAAGACATTCAGTGCTGGTACTTGAGGTCCCTTTCCAAAAGGGAAGCAACAATTTTGATGGGAGATACTTGGAAAAGGGATGCTGGAGGAAGGATTTGTATTTGAGAGGAAGACAGCTGAAAGAAAACCAAGCTTAATCCAGTTAGTGATTAGTGCATAAGTTGCAACATCAGTGCAGAAGTACGGTGGGTTTTTTCCTTTGGGTCTCTACAGCGGCTGCCTTTAACAGAACGGAGGCAATTTTTAAAAAATCATCTAAAACTAGATTATTGAGTCTGTTTACTCTGTACTGCAAGTTATTCTGACCAGAAACGTCTCACTGACATTACCCAGTCTATTAGTTGTAGATTTTCCGGGCTGTATGGCCATGGTCTTGGCATTGTAGTACCTGATGTTTTGCCAGCAGTTGTGACCAGTGTTCCCTCTAAGCTGAGTGAGTGTGAGCTAGCTCACACTTTTTTAGCCTCCAGGTCACACATTTTTGTCTTAGCTCAGGAAGGAGGGCTCCAAAGCAAACCGATTTAAGCAGTAGCCAAATCGCTCGCTCACAACTTTAATGCCAGTAGCTCACAAAGTAGAATTTTTGCTCACAAGACTCCACAGCTTAAAGGGAGTATTGGTTGTGACTGGCATCCTCAGAGGTATAACACAGAAAGATGGAGTACTCTCTGTGTCAATGGAGTACTCTCTGTCAAATACTCCATCTTTCTGTGTTATGCCTCTGAGGATGCCTGTCACAGCTGCTGGCAAAAAGTCAGGTACTACGATACCAAGACCATGGCCATACAGCCCGGAAAATCTACAACAACTAATGAACTCCGGCCATGAAAGCCTTTGGCAACATATTACCCAGTCTGCTTTGATGTCATTTGGATGCCAAATTCGAAAGGCATTCTCATCAAAAGCCCCACAGTGAATATTTCACTGTTTTATCAATTACAACACGAACGGATGGTAATTATTTGAAAACGCACACACAGAGACCATGCGATGGTAATTATTTGAAAACGCACACACATACCCAGAGACCATACTCCTGATCCTTTGTGTTTCAGCCTCTCACCAGCCTAGCACTCCTGAAGGAAAATGGAGCTTCAAGTCAAGTGCCTTTGTTGCTTATTGCAAGGGCTCCCTCTGCAGCCGTTAACGATTCCTTCCGTTTCAGTAGAAGGAAGCCTTGAGCAAAGCTTCTTCAGCCAAATCAGCTTCCACAGATTGGGGGCATCACATGCAGCGTCACACTGAAGCAGAAACTATTGCTCAGGTGGCATCAGACATTACCCTTCTCAGGGAGCCACACCAGATTTTTTTTAAAAAATGTATAGAGATTTTACAGCAATGCCAGAGAGAATGGAAGAAGAACTGGCTGGGTATAGGCACCAGAGGTTGGGAAAAATAGCTTTGAGAGCCAGTTTGGTGTAGTGGTTAAGTGTGCGGACTCTAATCTGGGAGAACCGGGTTTGATTCCCCACTCCTCCACTTGCACCTGCTGATGTTCCCACAAACATGGGGGATACATCTGAATTGGAACATAACAAAATATGAATATAAAGGCATTACAGAAGCACTCATGCAGAAGCTCTTGATCCTTGCCAGTTTGGACAGCCAGTTTGGTGTAGTGGTTAAGAGCGCAGACTCTAATCTGGGAGAACCAGGTTTGATTCCCCACTCCTCTACATGCAACTGCTGGTGTGACCTTGGGTCAGCCACAAGTTCTTTCAGAGCTGTTCTCTCAAGGGCAGTTCTCGAGAGAGCTCTCTCAGCCTCACCTACCTCACAGGGTGTCTGTTGTGGGGAGGGGAAGAGAAAGGGATTGTAAACCGCTCTGAGACTCCTTTGGGTAGTGAAGGGCGAGGTATAAATCTCTTTTTCTGCTTTCCATCAGCACGTTTTTACTGTTTCAGCTCATTTTGGTCCCTTGCCCATCCACATTTTTTTTATTTATTTGTTAGATAGGCTGGCTCAGGGCGGCTTACAGACAGAATAAAATTCTGACAATACAATAGCATAAAAGGTAAAGGTAAAGGTTCCCTTCAATGTTAAAACTCAGACATAATAAAGTGGCTGAGAAGGGAAATTATGGGACAGTATGAACAGTCTGCCCAGCCAGTTTTCAGGTGACCATGGGAAGGTATCAGAGGAGAAACAGGAGCAGGGCCAGCACTCTTGTTTGTGCACCCAAACCACTGCATCACAGTCTGTTGTATAGTTTGTGAACAGTTTCTAGCCTGCCCATAGAGCTGTTGAATGCCTGTTTGCTGCACTCTGTTTCTGCCACTTTCCTTCCATAGCCTCCAGCCTTGGTCCAGGGTGCTTGTGTTCCTTAAGAAAGCAATATTTCACGTGCAACTGTGCACATTAAATTATGAATGCAAAACACTTCTCTCTCACACAGAAAAGAACAGGAAGCCCGTTTAGGAATGGCATTCCGTTATTCCAGTTTGGGCTGGTGGCTCAGAACCTCAGCTTTCCTCCGTTACCAAGAAGAAGCTTCCCTGACGTTTTCCCATTGATAAGACAGCTGAAAATAATTAAATCATTTAGATGAATGTAGAGCATAAAGACAGAAAACAGAATGCTCTCTCTCTCTGTAGAGAAACTCCACGAGGTGTTTCGATGCATTTAAATTAATGTCATGAAGATGATAATCTCGCATTTATGAATCACCAACACATTCAAGAAGATCCATTAATGGACGGGGAATGAGACCAATTCTTTGGAAGCAGATAGACACTGCAATATTGCAAAGCACCGGCAATTGGAAAGATAAATCATCCATCCAGAAGGAGCCCTTCATGGTGGGTGGCTGGATACTGCCCATGTGTGGAAGTTCTCCTGTTGTCTTCTCCATTCCCACAGCCCCTTCTGATAGGATTCACTTGGAGGAGTATCTATGGGAGGGTCAGCAAGCTGGAAGGGGGGCGAACACAGGGACAAATTTGGCTCCCTTCCTCAGTGGAGCTGCACTTGCAGAAGGAGGGTGAATGATTTCACTCCCTGCTCCTTTCTCACTCCAACCCACCCAACCCGTGCACGTCTTTCTTTGTGCAGATCCTACAAGCCTAGAAAAAACCGGAAGGGGGTGCAATTGGGGAAACTCAGTGTTCCATACACCAAGTGGGAAGATACTACCAAATGTTTTGAGCTTTCCTATGTTGCAAGCCCTCTCAAGTGAAGGATGTTGTCATGCCACATTTTGTCAATTGTTGACCTTTTAAAGTGATATAAAGCCAGCAGACCATAGAAAAGCATAGAAAGAACACACCTAAAGGACATATGACCTTGCGAACAGTGCAAGCTCTGTCCACATATTTTCCCATCATACAGAGTGCTGCAAGCTTCAAGCAGTTTGGCAAAGATAAACAGAATGCACAGGGGACTGGCTGGCAGGGAATAAACTCTTAAATAACAAAAAAAGATGCCATTAGTATGTATGAACATAAATTAATCCATTCAATCAGATACTGAACCAGCTTTGTGCACTTCTGGTATCAGCCCAGCCATAGTCTGACAAACACGGCTACATCTCTCAGTTTAAGCAAGGCCTACCACCCACAGTTGGATAACATGCATGAACCTTGAAGCTCTTGTAAGCAAGCAACAAGGGGGGCTGTAACTGGATAAAGGAAAGAAAACGGGTGGGAATAGGCAATAGGGCCATATAACAGTACATCAAGAGACAATACAAAGAAATGTATGAAGACATAAGCCACTAGAAGCCAACCCCAATTAAAAGGTCTCGCCATTTTTTTTTACAGGGTCAGACTTTCTGAGGAAGAGGGAAGTCCCATAGTTGTGGGTCAGCCAACAAGAAATCATTCTTACGTGAACTTGAACCCAATCAAAGGAAATACAAAAAGAGACACTTGGTCTGAGAAACTGTAATAAGGCACAAGGGAAGAGACAGTGTCTTAGGAACACTGTATGACTGTGCAGTGGCTCAGAGGTTAAGATGCTGAGCTGCAGACCAGAAGGTCGGTGGCTCAGCAGTTCAAGACCCTAATGCTGTGTGACAGAGTGAGTTCCCACCCCTGGCTCCAGCTCCTGCCAACCTAGCAGTTCCAAAGCAAGAAATTGCAAGTAGATAAATAGGTACCACTTTGGTGGGGAGGTAACAGTGTTCCATGCACCTTGGTGTTTAGTCATGCCGGCCACATGACCATGGAAACGTCTTCGGACAGCGCTGGCTCTTCGGCTTTGAAACGGAGATGAGCACGGCCCCCTGGAGTTGGATTCAACTGGCTTTCGAGCAAGGGTAACCTATGACGTTATTAATGCCAATTCTGACCCATATTTTTGATTGTGCTGATACAAACATGCAAACAAAGTAGTAATGTACTCCCATTAACCCATAGTAGTCAGAAACACCTCCTTATTCTGTGCCAGAGAAGCTTTGATTCTTTGACTAGCAGTGCAGTCCTCATCAAGTTACACTGTACTGTATCAGCTGAAGACAATGAGCTTAGAAGGCATATCTCTGCTTAGGGCTACATTGTAAACTATCTGAATTTTCATATTTAACCTCATATAGAATGCATTATAATGAAAATCCATGTGCATGTATATATACATATATAAACTGCATAAATGTTTATGAATGCCCAATATGTTGTGATTTCACATTAATCTGGGGGAACCCCAATGTGTCACCCCCTTTCCTGATACTTTACATGAAGATTACTGACTCCACATGATCGTGACTCATTAGAACAACTAGAATGTTTGAAGTTAGTGCTTATGTTAGCCAACATAGTTCTAGAGATATCAGTATATGGGAATATAATTTACCTTTCCTTTAAAATAAAAACAGTGTTCATGCTCCCATCAAAACCCGAACCTTACACAGCAGTTGATTTAACACACAATAATTTATATTGCCCCTTTTGTTTGGGGTGCCTATTTTGATAAGAGTGCAAGAAAACTTTGTAACAGCCATGGCTATTAACTTAAAGTCGCTTACGTGAACCGGATCCAAGATTTTGACCGCTGCTTTGCTCCCATTTTTCTTGTTGAATACCTTAAAAACTTTGCCATACGTTCCTTTGCCGATAGTCTCAGTTATTTCCCAGGTATCCGAAGGATCGGGAAAGCTATCAAATGATACTGTTTTGCCAGTTAAGGGCATCATCTCAAATATTAATCCCTAGAAACAAAACCAAAAATTATGCATTGAATCTATCATTATTAAAAGTTAAAACTCAGCAGGCAAGTACACACACTCAGTGCTTGTACACTCATTTTTCAAAACACACATACAAAGACCGGAACCAAATATGGGCCATTACAATCAGACTTACTCGCTCACACCACCCCAGGACTGTCAACTTCAAGTTAGGAAATTCCTGGAGATTTGAGGGTGCAGCCTGGGGAGGTCAGATTTGGGAGGGGAGGGACCTCAGCTCAGCTGGGTATAATGCCATAGAGTCCAACGTCCAGAACAGCCATTTTCTCCAGGGAAACTGATCCCCTTAGTCTACAGATCAGTTGTAATTCCTGCAGATCGATCACAAGGCCCCACCTGGAGGCTGAGAACCCTACACCAACCTCCAGGTGGTAGCTGGAGAGCTCCTGGGATTCGAACTTATTTGAACTGCTTGGGAAGGTGGCAGGGCTTTTTTTGTAGAAAAAGCCCAGCAGGAACTCATTAGCATAAATCTGCGTGTGCATCTGTTTTTCGTATGCTTGAAAACTGCTTAGTAACAGGCAACATTTATTCATTAAACCTAGTGTGTTGTCTCACTTCCTGGGAAATAAGAGCATTCGTTGGCCAATCCGCCCTCTGTATACACGGGAAAATTTCTCACGCCACGCCCACTGTCGTACATAAGACTGAGTTGGGCATTCGGAACCATTCTTAGAGGAGGTCCGGTATCACTTCCCTCTGTAGCCACACACACAGAGGTTTTAGCTGTAGCTGAAGCCAGCCGGAACTCCGTTCCTGTGCGTTCCTGCCCATAAATAGCCCTGCAAGGTGGACTCTATGGCATTATCCCCCACTGAAGTCCCTCCACTCCCCAAACCTCACTCTCCTCAAGACTTCACCCCGAAGATCCCCAGGAATTTCTCAACCTGGTCCTGACAGCCCTACACCCTACTCGTCTTCCTCTCCAGCCACAATCTTTGATTTTGAGCACCTCACAGATGGAACCCTGTCAATCTGTGCTTATCAAATCTCCATAAAGCGCTGAATAATTGACCTTTGTGTCTGGAGGATTTTAATCCTGCCTATCAACAAAAACACTCTTGGAGGCAGTTTACAAATAAAATGACCCAGTAATAAAATAATGCAATATAGGCATTAAAAATGGTTACACACAATTCTAGACTAAAAGCAGCACGGAATGCAGTACAATATAGCAGTCTTCCTTTGTAGACCCGAAACCCCCTGAGCCTTGAAGTGCCCTGGCTCTGAGCCTCTTCAGGCTTTAGAGGTTATCGCCAGCTCTTTGAATTAGTCCTGGAAGCAACCTAGCAGCCAGGGCAGTTGACTAAGAATTGGCAAGATGTCTTATCTGAAGACAGTGCCCATCAGCAGGCTAGCCAACACATTTTGCACCAACTGAGCAATCACAGACAGCCACACAAAGAGCGCCTTTACAGTAATCTATTTTGGATGTGAACAGAGCATGAGTAATTAAGGCCAAATCTTGCCTCTCAAGGAAGCGCCACAATTGGTACAACAGAAGGTGGTGAAAGATACTAAGGGCACTGTATACCAAAGAGGAGATATGCACATTTGCACACCCAGACCTAACCCAACACCAGAACTAAAAACCTGTTCCTTTAGAAGAACAGTTGGTTTTATACCCCACCTTTCACTACCTGAAGGAGTCTTGGAGCATCTTATAATCACCTTCTCTTCCTCTCCCACAACAGACACCCCGTGAGGTAGGTGGGGCTGAGAGAGTTCTGAGAGAACTGTGACTGGCCCCAGGTCACCTACGATGCTTCAAAACCTGGGTCTCCAGATTAGAGTCCTGCCGCTCCTAACCACTACACCAAAGTGGCTCTCTCTTTAGGAGCAGTGGACACACATCCAGACCAGTGTTCCCTCTAAGCTGAGTTAGTGTGAGCTAGCTCATAGTTTTTTAGCCTCCGGCTCACACATTTTTGTCTTAGCTCAGGAAGCATGGTTCCAGAGTAAACTAATTTATGCAGTATCCAAATTAGTCACTCACAACTTTAAAGCCAGTAGCTCACAAAGTAGAATTTTTGCTCACAAGACTCCACAGCTTAGAGGGAGCATTGATCCAGACTAGGCCAAGTCTTTGATCCCTGACTGGCCAGTGTCAGCTCCATCTCCACATGGAGATGGGATTTTGTGGTTTCCCTGTTGCTGGTGTGGATGCATGTAAAGCACAGCAGCAACAGGGCTTCTACATGGCAGGTTTCCCCACAATTTCCCTGTTCCAACACCCCCCCTCTGGAAGTGCCCACCAGGGCTTTTGCCATTTTAAAAAAATCAGCACTAGATCATCATTACATTGGTATATCATTGTAACTACAGGTATGGTGGGTTCTTTGAATTCTTAACTTTTTTTCCCCAAAGAAAGTCTACAAGGCTTGCGAAGATATGCCTTTTTTCCCTTATATCCCTACAAGGGAGGGGGATAGAGACTTACCTTTACAAAAATTAAAGATGAAAATACAGAGAACTGCTGAGAACAATATTCTGGAGCAGATTTAAAAAGTAGCAATAAAAGCCCCCCCATGACCGGGGGAAGAAGTGGCTCCTGCTGGTACAGTGTCAGGGAAATTGGCTGTCACGTGGACCAGAAAATCCAAATTTTCCCACCCAAACAGCAGCTGGCTTTACTATGATATTTCCCAAACCTTTGGAGCAAAGCAAGTTTGAGAAAGATCAAACAAGCTGTGGAAATCCCTGGAGGTGCAGAAATGCACCATGATGCTGTTGGGAAGCACGGGGGGGGGGAATCCCCCAAAGCATTGAGTGCAGGGCAGATAACCCATGTAGAAATGTCATGAGAAAGCTTAATTTCCATGACCCTATTTGAAACTGGATCAAAATGGGGCAAAATAAACTGCCTCATCATAATCTGTCTCGTCATACAAGAAATGCTGGGGATGCCCACCCACCACTTATTCAAAAAGGGACACTGGATAATGTGAGCAATCACTGTTAAGATCCTTAAGGTGCCAAGGAGATTTGTTTTTCACAACTGCCTCCTACAAGATAATTGCCTCTACCCTTTTCCTTCAAAGATCCATTTTGTTTCTTGGCCCCAGTCAATTAGACCCCTGTGGCTAGCAACGACCCTATTTGAAACTGGATCAAAATGGGGCAAAATAAACTGCCTCATCATAATCTGTCTCGTCATACAAGAAATGCTGGGGATGCCCACCCACCACTTATTCAAAAAGGGACACTGGATAATGTGAGCAATCACTGTTAAGATCCTTAAGGTGCCAAGGAGATTTGTTTTTCACAACTGCCTCCTACAAGATAATTGCCTCTACCCTTTTCCTTCAAAGATCCATTTTGTTTCTTGGCCCCAGTCAATTAGACCCCTGTGGCTAGCAACTTGTCCAAAATAATTGAACTCCATGCAAGCAATTTTGATTAGATTGAACCCCAACAGCATTCCAAGATTGAACTGTCGAACTCACATACTCTAAGCCAGTAAGCTACAGAATGTTTTGGGTCTAAATCACCAGAGGCATAATTTTAAAACTGTCTTATTTCTGGGAACAATTCCACTGCATGGTTTCGTGCAGATGCAGTGGTGACAATGAGCTTACTTGGCTGGCATTCACCACCACAAAGTAAACGTGAAGATGGGCTCTTATTGGGTACTTTTAGCACAAGTTTTTTCTCTACTTGCACTGGCCTCCCTACTCATTTCAAAGCTTGCAGCTAAACCAAGGAGCTTGAGTTCTATGGAACCAAAGAGGACACAGGCACCATCACGTCAAGCAACCAGGAAATCTGACATCAACCTGGGCTTTGACAGAAGTTCATGCCATATCAGTTCCCTGAGGGCCTATGTGACCATCTGGATCTACCAGCCTACAACCTATAAGAAGTTAAAGGAGCCCGCTGTCTTGTAGTGATTAGAAGTCATCATCTTAAAACCCAGGTGGTAATTGTCAATCCATGACAAGTAAGTTACAACATGTTGCCCCATTGATCCATCAGTACAGAAGACCAGATCAAGGATATCAAGCATATCATCTTCTCTATGACTAGGGACAATGATGCACTTGGACAGCTCTTACGGCTGTTAAGGCAACCTTGATGTCCTGGTTATCTATCAAGTTGGCGTTGGATGGTAGAGTCCCTCAAAATCGATAGCCTTGGGAATTTCAGCACCAAATACAAGCTCAACTCCATTAGACTAGACCAGGCAGGAAGAATTATGGAAGGGACCTCCAGGATCATCTAGTCCAAGACTGTTAGGTACAAAGTAAGCAGTAAACTAACAGCATCCCCAATGTGCCTCTGACTGTCAACATGAAATACGGTACATACAAAATTCCAACCAAGAAAGCACCTGGAGATGGTGAAGGGAGCTTAACAGATGATGACAACTCCCTGTCCCTGGTAGGTGATGCTGCATCCAGGACCCTGATGGACAAACCAAGAAGAGACCCACACCTCCCAATGCATCCAAACTGTTCTTGGTAATACATTCCAGCTCACTTTCTCATTCAGGATTAAATCCTGATGATCTCCATCTTCCCACAAACTGATCTGGCATTCAACACCACCAAGCTATTCATGATGATAAGAAATTAAGAAGAAATTAATCAGGCCCAGGGAAGCAGACTGGCCATTCATGATGTTTTCGATCAGTGAATGGAGATTCCAAAATGTAAGCAATACTTCAGTGTGGGACCCCAAAAATTCCATTGAAGGGTCTGCTTCATACACTGCATTTTTAAAGAATACATTTAAGATTTTAAAAGCTTATATGAGAATAGATCTTGTCAAAACTTGGAAGCTAAAGCAGTGTTAACCCTAATTGGTATTTGGATGGGAGACCACCAAGAAAGTTGAACATCACTACACAAGAGGCAGGCAATGGCAAACCACCTCTGTTTGTCTCTCGCCCTGAAAACCCTACAAGATCAACATAAGTTACCTGTGACCCAATCACACTTTCTATC